AATTGGTCCTACTCGCTATTTACATTGCAATTAACGTAAACTTAAGATACTCTATAGTAAAAAAATTATATTTTCTTAAAAACAGAACATGTCACATTACTCAAAATTTTTCAACCAAAAATTCAGTAAATAAAGAAATCTATGACAATAAGTTTGATTCAAGATTTTTATCATGATAAACTTGTTTGCGATCGTTACAATTAAAGGTTAACCGAATATATAAATAAGAAATAAGTCAAATTCAATTTGCCAAACCGAAATAAATAAACCAACGCATGATTTTAATTGGTTAGAAAAAGCGATATTAAATAAATTATGATTATGCCGAGTTTACTAATTCTTATGGAAATGTTACTTGCATAGTAAAAACAAATTTGCTTATATATAGCACAATGTATCTATCAATATTGACGTTTTGCCATAACATTGCTTTATTTGATTAACTTCCTTTTTATATAGTTTTCTAGGATAAAAGAAAAGGCTGTTGTAAAAGATTCATGGAAAGGGCGCCGGATGAAGCAACTATAGAGGTCCCTCCCTCGATATAAATTCAGTTCCTTATGCTATTGTTCTGTCCTACTTCTTCCTGCGCCATAATTATAATTTTAGTAATATCTTTTTGAGCCAACCTCATTAATTTAATTTGATATATTGTTTAATCATTTCATTTTTTTTTCTTTATCAACGAATTTCATACTTCCAAAAATTACAAAAAGGTAATTTTTTTACAAATATCACTTATCAAGTGTGAAAATTACAATATAAAGGAGAAATTACTAAAATTACCTAATCTGCTTTTCAAACTGAAATACATCAATATAAAGCGTTAATTCATTTTACTTTTTTCATCCTTTCGGTTGCAAAAGGCCCAAATTTTCATGTTTTACAATAAGTGAATATCATTTAGAAAAAGTCATAACTAACGGGTGACAACTTTATACATACATTTAAAAAAAAAAAAAGATTTGAATAAGTATGGTAATGTTAACATTGAAATGTTTTTATTCGAAACATAACCTATATAAGTAACGTTACACAAAATGTATTATAAAAATATAATGTTTTCAGGACAGGAATTAAATATTTCGATTTTTGGGAACATCATCATCATTATACTCGAATTCTGGTGGAATATCCTCATATTTCACTAAATAAAATTTGATAATAATATTTAATTACAAAAAAAAAAAAAAAAATGTTAAAAAAGCTTTAAAATTATCAATGGTACCAAAGATTCGTTTTATTAAATTTTTTTTTTTTTAGTCTTACAATAAAATCCAAGATTATTTCCAAAATTTCTGTGACATAAAACAAAATTGATACTTTGTGCCAAGGTTACAAAGGAAGCAAAGGCACCTAATAGCAAAAGGAATATAATTAATTAATTAAACATTGTAACTATATATATAAAAACAAAAAATATATATTACCAGAAGCCTAGATCAAAAGAATTGTACAATTTAAAAGGATAATCACAAAAATTCTTACTTTATTAACTGGGCAATAAATTATTATTTTATATGATATAAAAAAGCATTCCAACAAAATTTAATAAATGAATTAAATAAATCAGTTTTGATTCTCTCACAACCTAATAAAAAATTTTTATAAAAACGAACGAATAAGTTTTTTGCTTTAAATAACTTACCACCGTTATTATAAATAATAATACTTTTAAATACTGTAAGTTAGTTGGTCAGGCATTATGAGATCCCAAATAAAAGAATGGAAATCATAAAAAATCAAGTATAAATCATTTCAAACAACCACATACAACATATCCATGCTAATAACGTTATGAAGTTTGCATGGATTAAATCAACTTGACATTGATATCTTTTATTCATTTCTTACATCATATTAAAAGGATATCGTTAATATAATATATAGATGATACGCGTATATACAGTATATTTTATTCTAAATACTTACTATTTATTTGAATATTTTTTTTTGTGTTACCAATATCTTTGAAAATTTTCCATTGTCTGGAGACGAAAAGAAGTTACTAATTAGTCTTATTGGGAAAGGACTAATTTATATATAACGCTTCCTTACCCTTTATACCAAAGAAGAGTCAACAATATTATGTAAATCACTCAAAGAAAATATGTACAATTTATGAAATTACTTGGTTATGATAATTTGCAAATTTAATATTACATCTTTTGTCACCGCAAGAATTGTAGACTTGCATTGCATAGCTGACAGTTATAAGTAAATTCAAAAAAACAAAAAACAATCCCATGTAATAATGTTTTTGTAAATATTTAATCAGAATGTTTATTAGTATTACATTTTTTACTTACTGTAACAATAAATGATATTAATGGAGGAACAAATACTAAAAAAAAATAAAAGTAGTTCGCTTTGTAAAATAATCCCATTGAAATGTAATAATTAAAATATGCGAGTAGGAAAACAAAGTATACAGCAAAATGAATTATAAAAGAAAGAACAAAAAAACTTTTCCAATATTGTGTAATTCGATAAAATTGTTGGACATATTTTTAAATTTAGGAAATTGTTTATTAAAAACTTGGCTAATAATTTTTACAGATATATTTTTTTTTTTCTTTAAAAATATGAAGTGTGGCTTAGCCGACGACGGAACAGTTTGGGGATCAAAAGAAACAAGTAATTACCAGCACCTCCAAGACGCCGCCTAATTATCCTTACTGAAAAATATCAATGATGCTGATTCCAAATTACCTTCATGTGATACACAAACAATAAACAATACCCCTATAAGTATATACTTTTTAGGAAACAAAGGAAAAATTTACAGATAAAAGTTCAAGTACGTACCTCAAACAACTAAAAAATGGAACTACTCGTAAATAAACTAAATTAAAAAAAAAAAAAATAGGAGCCGCTATCCCAAACCTGAAAAGAACATTATTTTTAAAAAAAAATGCTAGAAGAAATCTGATATACGGAGCTTAATTTGAATATTTCCGAAGCAGATAACGATATCACATGAATGATGAAACCAGACCAAAACCGGAATGACGAAATGCAGGGGTGCATAGAAGTAGGAAGTTTTTATAAACATTTGCAGATCATTGCCTAAAATAATGGTTAACGTTTTAAATACGCCGCTGGAAATAAAATGCGGAGACTTCTTCTTATCTAAAAGAATTATCATCAAAGTGTATAATTTGGTAAGAATTTTTTCATAATCATCATGATCAACCTTCAACAAGAATATGGATTTGAGGAATGTATTGAATGTAAAAAAAGAAGACAACAACCTTCCGAAGAAAATCAAGAGATTTGTCGCAATTGTTATAAAGCTAATGAAATCTTTATGCCAAGTGGAAACGAAATTATTGACGATTTTATCAAAAATACACATATTAATAATGATAACGATAATATTCGAATGGAGTATGTTCCATTTGAAAGACTCAAAGATATAGAAATGATTGGTGAAGGGGGATTTAGTAAAGTTTATAAAGCTACTTGGATTGATGGTCCCATTCGGGAATGGGAAAGTTGGAATGAATCAAATTCAAAGTTTAATCGGGAACCCAATAAGCTAGTTGCTCTTAAGAAACTTAATAATTCTAAAAATTATACTTCTAAGGAGTTAACCGAGGTATTAATATTGTTTTTATTATTATTATTTTTATTATTGTGATTTATGATAATTATCTTAAGGTGCCAAGTTAATAATCTATTTTTCAGCTTAAACTTCTTTATCAATCCATGGAAATGAGTTATAATATTAATCAATATCATGGAATCACACAAGATCCTGTTACCAAAGATTTTGTGATGGTTATGAATTATTGTAATTTAGGAGATTTGACCCGTTATATAATTAGGAATTTTTTTCATCTTGACTGGTCAGGAAAATTGTCACATTTACGTAACATTGCAAGTGGCCTTGTTGAACTTCATCAGAAGGGTATTACTCACCGTAATATTCACAGTGGAAATATTTTGATGGCAAAAGAAAGTATAAATTATAAAAATTTCGATTGCACTAAAATAGGTGATCTAGGATTAAGTAAATCTGAAGATAATGAAATTTATGGAGTCATTCCTTATGTGGCTCCAGAGATTTTTCAAGGGGATCAATTTACCACGGCTTCGGATATTTATAGTTTTGGTATGATTATGTGGGAGTGTTTGACAGGTAGAAAACCTTTTTGGGATCGTGTTCATGATGTCGATTTGATTGTTGATATTTGTGATGGGTTACGCCCCCCTATTGATGATGTAAAAGCGCCTAAAATTTATCTTGCCCTAATGAGAGAATGCTGGGACCCTGAACCAAGTAAAAGGCCAAAAGCTAAATCCATTCAAAATCGTATTAATATCATTAAAGACGTTGAAAGAACAGACCCAACTGTTATTGTGCGAACATCAGAAATTGGACCTATATCGACAATCTATCGAGGTGCTATTTACAAGAGTAGATATTTAAATGACATAATTAATTCCGCAGAATCTAAAAGAAATGAACGAGGTGATCTCTTTTCTTTAGATTTAGATTTTGGTAATTATTATTTTTTATCATTGTTGAAATCTTTTTTTTATTCTCCTAAATAAAAAAAAAATGTTATTAATTAAACGTAATTATCAAGTACCGCTTATAACTCCTGTATACCCTCAAGGTAATTATTTTTACTTTGTATATTTAATTCTCATCTTGATCATTTGATAATTAGTCTCTTTTTTTTAAAAAAATAAAAACAAGCTAAACGAAAATTGGATAGAGAAAATGAAGACGAGAATGATAATAGTAATGGTATGATGTGATATAAAATTATTACAGCACACGAAATTTCAAATAACAATTAATATAATACATTTGTATTATTTATAGATAAACGTAGTAGAATTTGATATTTAACCACTACATCAGTAAAATATATTCAGGTACTATAGATTTTTGGGGTTCTCTTTTAACATATATGCCACCATAAATTACCTTTTTAAAAATATCAAATAAATTTGAATAAATATCAAATCTTTAAATTGATTACAAGATGGATTATCAAAGGACCATGCCATATGGAAACACTTCCGATGATTTATATTACAAATTTATTTTTTATTTTCGTAAATTTGATTAATTTAGTTAAACATCACCTTTTCATCATCATTAGATTTAAATGTTTCTTGATGTGATTTTCACACTTTTTCACAAAAAAAGGGTTTTACAATAGGGATTATTCTTGAGCAAAAAGGAGCCTATTTCATGTCAAAAAGCTCGTTATTACGCAAGAAAAAAAAAACTCGGAATTTTCAAAATGCTTTCAAGCAACAGTTTATTGAGAATAATTAATCAAACTCATGACTAAAAAATTTTGCCAGCTTTGTTAAAAGTATCTAAATGAATCATTTAAACTTAAGGATAAAATATCAGGATTCTTGCTTTTAAACAACGAAAATTTCGGGGAAATAATTTGTTCAGATGAATCTAGTTTCAATTCCTCCAATTATCACGAGGATTGTATCGTCTCAATTGTGAAATACAGTCTAATGATTTAGTATTGTTTATTAGTTTGTTACAGACAAAATATATCATGAAGTTTTGAAGCTTACGCTATACTAACTCTTTAAACACAATCACGAAAGTTAAAAAGTCTTTCAAAATGACTCCGCATCAGTACTTATAGCAAACCTTGTACAAGATTTTCTTCATTCAAACATAAAAAAACTTTGTTCAAGGACCTAAACCTTAGTCTATTGATTAATAGTTGTCTTAACCGGATTATCGATTTCTGAGCAATATATCGAACCTAATTGGTTCCATGCCCTCTAGAATCCAAGCAGTTACTCTGCTGAACGATACTAAATATTGATAACTGAATTGTAGAAAATTAAATTAAATTTAAATATCTTCAATATATTTAAGTATGTAATAAGTTATTAATTATCGCGCGATTATATTATTTAGGATATTCAAATAAACACACACAATACTTGAAATTTTTATAACACAAAATTCAATACAAAATATAATAAACCTTACACCGCAACTTCTATTGGCATAAATTTGATTCAGTTTTTTCAAAAAGATTTGTTCAGATATAATATTAACAAAAAAATCCTAGCAAACAAGATGTATAAATAGAAATTATATTTTCAATAACATAAAATGTCATATGCAAATAAGCACATTTAACAAAGAGACAGATGTTACACAAAATCTTTCGAAATGGAAATTTTCCAATGCTTTAATTTTAAATACTATATATTACATGTAAAATTTTATTAAATAAACCATTTACACTTGCAGCATCAAAATTCCTTTAATAACTTTGACCTGCCTGTTAATAGTCTTTAATTAAATAAAATCTTTCCATGCTAGTATACTTTGAACAAACAGATCTTTATGTCTGCTTATAATTGAAAAAGACTAAAAACATTCTTATTAAAAATTTTATTATTTATAGAGATAAAGAGTTGGAATAATTTGCTAAAAGGATAGGAAGCTACTAATTTTTTAAGGCAGTTCATAAAGTAATATAGATAGGAGGTCTTTAAATTTGAAATTGACCAAAAAACAGTTTTCTACGATTCAATGAAAATTGGATGAATGTCATAAAAAAGCTCATCGAGGAACAAATTCTTGATAAATTTGTTAATATTTTTAATTTTTATCATTTAAGACGAAAAGATAAATAATTGTTAGTTAAAAAGAAAACATTTAAATTGTAAAGTTGATTCAAAGCGTTGTTAAAAGATTTAGGACAAATATCAAGGTTTAAAGATTTAGGATAGATAATCAGTAAAGATATTTGGTAAGCAAAGTTGGTATCTAGTTGTTGTAGCCTGAGTTGATGTCCGAAATGCGCATTTGGGATATCCGAAGTGAGCATTTGGGATATCCGTCCCAAACGATCTTCGCATTTGGGATATACCAAAGATTACAAGAGCAATCGAGTTTCGTTAAGGAACAAGAAATTTTAAAAATTCGGTATTAGATTTTGAAAATATATGCAATTGAAATAATTACAATTATTATTTTTAAGAATTTTAGTAGATCGTAATACTTTAGAGCTCTTAAAATTTAAATAATAAATGTATTAATAAATTATTAAATATTAGTCGTGTGGATGATTCTTCAATTTTTACTTTCATGGAGTGTAAAATTCATATCGGATTAAAAGAATATGATAAAGCATTGGAAGTTTTTAATAGATTATTTAGAATAAGTAATCGAGACATTTCTTTTATTTATTTATTACAAGGATATTCTGGTTTTTGATTATATTTATGTAATTATTATCATTTTGATAAAATTATTGAACTTGGAATTGTTAACGACTTTAATTGTTACATGTATCATGGTATTATTTATATTTTTATTATTTTTTTTTTATTTTTTAAATTATTTATCTAACGAGTTTTTTTTTTTTTTTTGTTTTGTTTTTTTCAGAAAAAGATTTATTTCGTATCAAACCTCGTTAAACGTTAATAAATATTCAAACATCCAAGAAGTGAATCCTACTAGGCAAATATATAAACTTTTTCCATATTATAATGTTCAAAATTTATTAATACTAATTATAATAAATTAAAAAGTCCTATCTGGAATAGTATTGAGATTCAAAAAATGAACCAATAAAAATTGATGTACCTAAATTACCCCATATGCCATAATTATTTGGAGAATATGTATTAATAATATATCATCCGAAGATTGTTCCTTAAATTTTATGGTTAGGGTGGATTTTGTAAGCCTATTTTAAGTATTTATATTGATTTTTAGTATTAAATGTTAAAATGTAAATGTTGTATAAATTTATTATTAGAATGATTTGCCATATAGAGTATACGTTAAAGTATAATGATTTGTCAAAACTGGTTGGATTAGGTTGGATTGAATTTACCCTTCTGTTTGTAATTTACCATATGGAATGGGTACAACCTTCAATTGAAGTAGAAAGTGGAAAAATTGATATGATAAGATTTTATTTAATTATTTCTGAAATTTTCATTTAAGATGAAAAAAAATTAATATGATTTTACTATTAAAATAGAAAATAGATTTTGTTTAACTCACATTAGTTAAACGAGATCAAAGTGTTTGTTTCCAATGTATATAATCTGTTACAACTATATAAATTGCATCCAAATATTTCAGAAACATTTGAGGATAAGTAATTTCAAAAAAAATGAATTTGATAATTTACTTCAATTAAATGATATTCTTGACTATTTGAAATTTCATATGTTCAATAAAATTAATAAAATTCTTCGTATAGTTTTTTATAAATTATAAATAAATAATTTTTCTTTTTACTGATCGGATGATTCACATGTGCAGTATATTAACATTATGGCAAGTTCCATCAGACCTTAATATGTTTATTTATTTGTGGATTAAATAATTATTTAGAATTGCAAAGTCTAACTTTATTTCTAATTCATATGATAGAAATTTTGAAACCTCAGAAATTCTATTCATAGAAAAATGACTTTTAGTCTGAAAAACGAATTTAAAAATTAATTAATTCAAATAACAGTAAAATTTTGATTGCAAAGCGGTGAATTGGTAGATTCAAAATATTGTAAAGAATTTTAAAGTTGTCAAATCTCAAAATGACATTAACTTTTATTATATATTTCAAGTCAAAATGGCAAGGTCATTTCAAAATAGTTAATGATCTTACATTTACCATTATTATCTTGTGAAGACATTTCAAGACTCAATATTTACATAATTTTGTCCTTAAAAGCAAACTGTATTTACAAAAATAAAAAGAAAAAATTACTTGCACTAATTTATTAACTTATTAAATTTTGTACAAAGAGCGATTAATTTGTGAACAGTATATATGCGCACAGAGGTATTTTCTCCGTCAATAAAATTCATTTAAAAATGACATCATTTTAATTAATTTACCTTCTTTGACCTCTTATGAAATAAATGTTATGACGTGAAAATGCTATAACTTCTATTTACTGAATTTTGCTGGCAACTTATTAAAAATTCTAAACTAATACAAATTGTGAAATTTTTTTTTTAACAAAAACCATTCAAATAAAAATTATGACGCGATAAGAATTCAATTTTTTTTTGTATCAATAATTAGATAATGGATATAAAGAATACTTGATCCTTTAAGCTATTTACATTCAAAGTCTGCGATAATATTCCTTTTTGATATCTTGCATTTTTTAAAACAATAATTATAATAGTAATAATAATAATAAAATATAATTATCAAATTCAACTATCATATAATAAATTAAACTCAAGATACTTCTCTATAAAATTATATATATATAATTTATTATCTTTATTTTTTATTTAAAAAATAAGTTTGTAGTATTTCTCATTTAAATATTTTCCCAGTGAATAAATAGAAATTTCAGATAATAATTTGATCTAATATTATTATGTTTTATAATGATAATGATAGAAATAAATTACAAATTAATTAAATTTTTTTATCTATAAATAATTATAAAAAATTCAATTGAAGCTAGGTTTATAAACCACATAAAATAACAAAATTATATCATACCTTTATTACTTTTAATCTGAAGACTTCTAAAATTTCGCTTACTTTTTTAAAAAAATAAAAGAAAAGAAACTTATTAATATGTAATTAGTATATTGCAAAATAAATAAAATAAATAATTACCATTAATTGATGTATCGCTTTTCTAATTATTAACTAGAAATAAATATATGATTAATTAATAATGTTAGAAAAATAAAATATTAACATTTATAAATAAATTAAATACCAAAATCACAAAAATCTTAAGAAAAGAATTGATATCATAAACTTCTTGTGAATACTGCAGATTTTATCATATTACTTAAAGATCTACTTTTATAAATAGCGCCTGAATTGTTTTTTATTATAGGTCTAATATCTGATAATTCTACAATTACAGTTGGATTACTATCTTCAAGTTTTATAATGTTATTAATTTTGTTCATAATGATCCTAGATGATGGCCTTTTACTTGGATCAGAGTCTCAGAATTTTTTCATTAATGCAATATAACCTTCTGGTACTTCTATATTACCAATTGAAGAATGTAACCCATCATAAATATCAATAATCAGCTCAATATTATGAGTATGATCCCAAAAAGGTCTCCTAACTGTCATATACTCCTACATAATCATACTAAAATTATAAATATCTGAAGCTATGATATATTTTTATTCTTAAAGAATTTCTAAAGCTACATATGGAATAATTCTATAGGCTTCATTATCTTCAGCTTCAGTAGCAGATTTACTCAATCCTAAATCACCTATTTTGATGGATTTATTATTTATCAAAATATTTTCACTATGAAAATCACGATAAATAATTCTCGTTCTATAAATTTATGAAAATCTTCTGAAATATAGTATAAATAAAATAACTTAGTTGACCAATTAAGATTATAAAATTTTTGCTATATAACTAAACAATCTTCTGAAACACAATAATTTATAATTATCACAAAATCTTTAGTATTAAGATCTTACATAATTTTATAATACAATTATTGACAGTTCTCAATTTATAAGAAACTTTAATCTGAAAAAAAATTATTAACTTAGTGCATTAAAATAATTGTAATAAAAAAATAAAACAAGTGAATATACCTTATTTAACTCCTTAGAAGTAATGTTTTTAGAATTTTTAAGTTTTTAAGAGTAATTTGTTTATTAGATTCTCAGTTATATTTTCTTTCTTTTTTATTTCAATTATCAAATTCCCAAATGGGATCATCAATCAAAATAGCTTTATAAACTTTATTAAAACCTTCTTCATCAATAAAATCTACATCTTTGAAATTATCAAATAGAATAATCTTCATTTTGTGATCATTGAGAAAATGAATTTGTGTATATTTGATAAAATTATTAATAGCTTTATTACTAATTCCAATTGGATTAAAGGTTACATTTGCTTTATAATAATAACAGTAAATTTCATGATTTTCTTCAGAAGGTATTCTTCTTTTTTTACATTAATGCATTTCTCAAATTTATATTTAGACTTTAATTTAACCACAGGTTGCATTTTTTGATTTGATGTGTTATTAAGTTGATTGACATGATTATTATAAAAATTTTATTTCAGAAATTCAAGAATCACATATATTTATACTTTATATTCTTAATATAAAAGGAATTTCTAAATTTGAAAAAGAATTCTATTAATATCTTCAAAACTTCCAAAAGTATGTAATATTTATTTCAGAGACAATAATGATCTTTAGAACCTTATTTGTACAAATATGCATACATCCAGAAAGTTTTTAGAGAAAATAGAAGTTTTACTAAATTGATTTTCCATAGTGTAAAACTTTATGTGAGATTGTTATTGTAATAAATAAATATTAATTTCTTTATTATGTAATATGATGTAACATAAATAAATAATTAATTAAAATTTGATTCATTAAAAGTTGTGTCATAGTATTTTTATTTAATTCTGATCAAAATTATTTTCAATTCGATATATTAAAAAATATTTAGTCCTTTTCGCTATTTATATTGCAATTAATGTAAACTTAAGATCTCTAGCAAAAATTATATTTTCTTAAAAATAAGATGAACATGTTTACATTACTTAAACTTTTTAAAGTAAAATCTGATAATAAATTCTCATAAAAAATAACACTTCAGAGTATCTCCATTATTTTTTCATGATTTTGTTTTGGAGTCTATAAGAGTTGAGTGAATCATATAAGACTGATAATTGGTTAAATAATCAATAAAAATTTTTTCAAAATGTACATATAGGAAACAAAATTAAAATAGAATATAGAAATCTTAAATTTTAGAAATGGAATTAAAATGAAATATGAAATTCTTGTATTTTTAGAAACAGAATTAAAATAGAATATGAATTTTTTAAAAATTCAATGGTTCTGGAATAGAACTTTATTTTTTTAATTAAAAAAATTGGTTAAAAATGAAGAAAATATAATTAATCAATAGAAATTGACAATAACATTAAATTGAAAATTAAATAATATAAAGGTTTGCGAAATTTTAGCATTAGCTTTTTAATAACATAAATATAAATATACATTTAAATTAAGCATTAAAATTAAATATAAACTATTGAAATTTAACTCTATTTTCTTGATCAATAATATATAATTCATTATTTAGCATTTTGAAAAAACCAACTTTTCTGTTAATGTCATTAACATTAATTACCTCAAATGTACCAAGATCTCAGAATTTTAATGGGTTATGTCCAGATGGCTGAGAATTTTGAACTCACTATACATATACTAGCATAAACTAATAATCATTATATTAGTATAAAAAGTAATAATATATTTTTCCAAAAAACTCTTGTTCTATTAGAATAATTAATGTATTTTTACAGTGCGTATTTTAGTTAACTAAAAGTTTTACCTAATAAATAAAAATAATAAGTACTTGATTAAAATGAAATCTGAACTTTTATACATATCACAACATAAAAGTTTGCATATATAATATCACTCTTGTAATTGGATAGTCTTGAATTAATTATTTGCCTATATTTTAATCGAAGTTTCCTATATTTCTAATAGAATCTATAATTAACTTTAATAATATAAATAATATTTTAGAAGTCTCAAAATAAATATAAATATATGTTATAAGATATCATACAAAATAAATATAAAATAAAAATTATACTATAAACTGATTTGTATTCTTATTTGTTTTTATATAATAAGCTTTAAGATACTTTATTTCAATTCTATTTATCAAATAACTAAATGATAGTGAATGTAATTCTTCTTTAGTACCACTAATAGTAAATGCTCAATTTTTAGAACAGTTTAATATTTTCTTCAAATTTGTTTCAAAAAACTTTTGATTTATTTTAGTTTTGTACTGAAGATGTGAAAAACAGATCTATATAGTAATCTGATTTTGAATATTTGCATATGAATACTATCTGGATTATACTAAAAATAGTAACATTTTGCATAATCTCTCTATTGAATATTATCAGGTTGCCTATGCAGGTCCAGTATTATGTATTAAATCAGCAATATGTAATAAATAGTAATATAAGATAAGTGTAGCTAAAAGACGTTTTGAATCATTTTGGAAATATTCCCTATTAAATATTATTAGTATAATAATATAACATAAATATAAAATATAATATTTGCATACTTTTCATAATAAATTACAAATTCGTGAAAATATTTATCAATTTTCGCTAATTTTATTATACTAATTTTTTGTTTAAAGCAAAGATTTGTTGTATATACAAATTTTGCCTAGCCATTTAAATATCTAAATTAATCAATAATTTTAAAATTTAATTTAGAAAATTATAAATTATTAATTATTTTCTTACCTTTTCAGAAGATAATCTTGTAAAAGTGGTAATGAATATAATATTATTCAATTTAACTATTCTTCTGCTTTAAATGCAGCTGAATACTTTTAAATATAAATAGGCGAATAACCAAAATCTAATGGCATATTTTTTTGATATCTTTCCATTATTTTTCATATTTCAATCCATTTCTTATTATGAAGAATATAATTAAAGCTAGAGTTTTAATCATCTTTAAAAAGTGCTAGATCAATGGCAAAGCATTAATGATGCAATATTTTCAAACAATTCATGCATAATATTAATAGGAAATGAAGTAGAAATTTCAATTGATTTATGGTCAAATAAGATATTTCAACTATTTAAACTTAAAATTAAATAATAAAAATTAATATATTAAAGTATTATTTTAAAAATACTGAAAAAATACCTTATTGTTGTATTTCATATTTGCGTGATGATCTATTTTTATGTTCAATAATTGATGTATCATTTACATAATTTTTATGTTTTCACAATAGAAGATTTTTAGCATTATATTTAGTTTCTGATATACCAGTTAGAGGATTAAGTGGATAGTACACATACTGATTTCCTTAACAATATATTTCACAAATAGAGCAAAATCTGCATGCTTTATATGAATTATGTCCAGTTGTATACATAACTTTAGCAAGTACTAGAAGATCACTAGATAAACTGAAGATATATACACAAAGGGTAAATATATTTTTAGTCACACTATCAAAGCAATGGACTCCTTTTGTATTAAATTAATAATATAATAAGTATTATATTAAAATAATAAATTATAAATATTTTTTATAATACCTTGTAATTGTTTCAATTTATCAACTAATGGTTGTAAAAAAAAATTGAAATTTATTGGTGCTTTTAGTTCAGAAATAAGTGTGTAGAAATTATTAAGTTTCTTTTTTAATATGCATATCCGGTAGCAAATTTGCATTTATAAAGAGTACAACTCAACAACCATTTTACTTTTAATGAAAAATTTGATATCTATCAGTAGATGCTATTAGAGCAACATTACGATTATCTAAAAAAATCCAGATGAAGTTAAAGTTTTATATCAAGTACTATTAAATATATCTCCTATTTGATTATTAAGAGTATATTTATCTGTTGATTTATAGTTATATCTATAGCAAAAAGTTTTTGAATGAGTTTTTATCCTTATATTATAATTGAATGAATCAATAAGTAACCAATAAGTAGATTTTTTCATTATAGATTATTAGATTTATAGTGAGACTCCTTACATTCTGAATAAAAACTATTATTAGTATATTTGCCTACAAATGCTATACAGTATATGAATTAATATAACAATCTATATATATTAATTTTAATGGTATAATATTTTCAAGGATTTTTTGAAGTCTATAAAAAATTATGTTAAAATATCTAAGACTTTAAGAATTTTATTGAATGCAGCTACTGAAATATTATATTTATCTTTAATTTGAAGTAGCTATAAACCTTTAAGTATATTTTCTAATAATTTTAAAAAATATTAAATTTTATAAAAAAAAATCTCAAAATTAAGTTGTTATTTTAATTATAAGCTTATCAGAATCTATATATTTAGTATAATCAATTTTATCCTTATTATTACTTTTCTTATTCTCTTCTTCTTCATTTCTAATATTTCTAACTGATCATCATTATTACATTTATCACTATTGCTGAATTGTATTTCATCATCATTTATATCATCCATATTGACAAATTCTTTATTATAATTGTCATTTTCTTCATCTATATCATCAAATTCATCATCATGATTATTATTTTCTGCATTTATATCATCAAATTCATCATTATGATCATCATTTTCTTCATTCATATTGTCAAATTCTTTATTTTAATTCTTATTAATATTAATAGATAGTAATGATAATATAGGTATTATTCTAAAATTATATGATAATGTTTAAATAGTAGAAGTATTTAAGCATCTTAGTGGTGTTAATAGTATATCTGTTAAATTTATCCAAGTTTTTTTTTGGTTTACTATATGTCTTATGCAAGTTGCTTTACTAACTAACTTATTTAACCCATTTAATTTTTGAAGACACCAAATACATATACAAAGAACTTAGTTATTAAAGAACTTTAAATTTTTTATCATTAAAAAAGTTGAAAAGTTTTGCTTTTTTCAGTTAATACAGAGGGTCACCAAAAGTCTCTGAATACCACTTTTTAAGCGTGATTACATGCTAGTAACGTCACGTAACTTAATA